GGAAGATGTTGTGAATGAAGGTCGCAATCGCCTTAACGTCGCGGGGGTCAGCGAAGAAGTTGGATGATGGCAGAGCGATGCCCTTGTCGTCGAGGCTGACACGACCGAAGGAGCGAAGACCAGATGTACCGTAAACGTTGAGGGTGATGGTATTGTTGTCGTTTCCATAGTCGAAAGCTCCCGAAGAGTCAATAGTACCTTGGCAACCAACGAGGTCTTCGCCTTGTTGGATGTAGTCCCAGAAAGCACTTGTTTGCGAGGCAAAGGTATATGGTCCAGAGCGGTTCTTTAGGTACATCTCAACATCCATTGGTGGTGGGTTAGAGTAATCGTAGACGAAAGATTCAACGGACTCGTCGTGGAGCTCAATGAAGGTATTCGGGTTGTCGAACACCTTGTCGCCGACTGCGGTGTTGTTGATCCAGTCCTGAGATGGGACTGTGACCTGACCGTTCTTTGCAAGGCCCTCCAAAAGAGTTGCGTTACCAATACCGGACCACATCAGGAGCTGGGGGCTCAAGAGCGCACCTGCTGATGAGATGACTACACCGCCTTGCTTGAGGCAGATGCAGGTGTTGTTGGTACCCTCAACCTCAACATCGACACCGGTTGCAACGTCGCCGTCACGACGAACGCGTAGAACCTTTGTTCCGGTCCTGAAGGCAAAGTTCGATCGCTTGAGAGCTTGCTGGAGGTAGGTCTTTACTGGTCCACTCCTCTGACCTCCCTCGTAGTTCCAGATGGGATGGCCAAAGACCTTGTTTTTGGAATGTTCTTCAGGGCCGTCGTTCAGACCAACGTCGGCATATCCGGCTCCATTGACGAGCCACTTCTTGGCAGCCTCATAGCCGCTCTGAAGGTATCGTTGTCCGTCCAATGAAGGGCTGTCGGTACTTGGCTGGGTTTCCCTGACCTTCCGAATGGCACCTTGCATATCCTTGTTCTTCCAGCCTTCTGGGAAATACTTGTCCCAATCGCTGGCGGGTGGCTGGAAGAAAAGACCAGCGTTGATGGCAGTGTTACCTCCAACAGTGCAGCCCTGGAAGGCGTTGACGACATTGGATGGGCACACCAAGCCCTGACCGGGGTTTGAGAAAATAGTCTTGTACAGGCCTGGGACATCGACACGGCTGAGTTCTGTGCCCTCCAGCCAGTCCGGCCGTGTACGACCACCGGTAACATAGTATGATGGGCCTCCTTGCTCCAGGAGAATAGTCCTCTTTCCCGCCTCACTCATACGGTCTGCTGCAACGATACCAGCTGGCCCGGAGCCTACAACTTGTCAGTTTCGTCGCCAAAAGTCAAAGTACAAGTTCCGAGACTTACCAACAACGATGACATCCCACTCGCCGCCAGGACATTGCGAAGCAGTGGCGGAGCCAACCAATAAGGCGGCGGCAACCACCGCATTCCAAGTATGAATCGCCATTATTATAAAATTAAGAAGTAAGGATGTGATTATAGCTTTAGCACGCTGAAGTTGCTATATCTGTCACTTACAAAGGCCAAGAGGGCTCTCTTTAAGCAACTTTCTCATCCGGCGCTAAACCCGGACCGCCTTCCCTCGGGACCGGGGAGAGAGAGGCAAAAAGGAAAGCAGGAAGCACGGTACTACATCGTTACCAGCTTTTGCAGCAAATTTGCAACGAGAGGGTTGAAGCTGCGACCCCGAAATACGAAAAGCAACGATACCATGGCACCCTTTTTGGTACGACAGAGTCCGTGCCTAATGCTTAATTTAAAGTCCGGCGAGCGGGCACTTTGCCTTGTCAGATGGAAGCGTCAGTGCATTGATCGCTTATCGACATGACACAAGGATATTGAGTCGTTTTCCACAGAGACCCTAACGCCACAGCCTCCACAGCGTGGCTATTCATGGATATGACGATGGGGGCTTGGAAATAAGGCGGGCGACGATGGAGGTTGGGCTAGTAGTAACATCGTAAGATGCCGTCATATGAAGGTACGACTAAAAATTAGTCTGCTACGCTACGCTGAGTTGGGCGATAGGCAAAGAATATCTCGACCTCTTTTCGGGTACGTTGAGGAAATGGTATGGAACGGCTTTTGTCCCAAAGAAATATGGACAGGTACGTTTGCTGTTGTAGGCATAGTAGCATATTGACATATTCACATCTTTCGAGTGTGGGCCGCCAGCAAGGAAGCTATCGCAACTAACACGGGACAGGATAGTGTAGCAAACTCTATTCAGCATCTGGTCTACTAGCCTCCTTTAGCATCCGCATCATTCTGGCCCCTCTTCGCCCCCCCCGTAATTCCACTATCATTAACGTACTTACAAACAGAAACAACCGTCTCTAAACAATCCCCTGTCGTAACACTATAAGCGCCCCGACGTAACAAAACACTTGCCATTAAACAAGACATTATTCGTTCATAGATGAACCCAGATAGAAGAAAGGGGTCAGGAAATTTGGGCCGTCATACAGGGCAAATCCCGTAGTACCGCGTTGTCGCATTTCGCGATCGGCCCGCCCGGACAAACCCCCATGCAAAGGCAACACGACCAAGCTTTCATCCCATTGCTACGTACGTGCCGGCTATTCTTTTTGGGTCCTTACATCATACCACCCGCTTTAGAGCTACGTACCCCACATACTCTAACAGCTTCTCCATGCATACATGTATATTTGTTTCTTTTTCTTTTTCTTTTTTCCAGCTGTTAGAAATCGGGAATGTAAAAAAAAAGTTGGTTAAGTGGTGCAAAAAAAGGCGGGCTGGGAAGTAGTGTGGTAAAGTGGACGGTGCAAGGTAAGGTTCTAGATGGGCAAGCATTAAATGTCAAAGCATAGACGATCGCAATTCACTCGACTGCCGGATGCCGAGAATATGCCACATGAGTGTGGCGATCCATGCGCACTGCTCTGAGCGTTCTACCTAGCTTTTGATGTACTTAACAGTCGCAGTTTATAGTGCTATAGACCACGTTCGGGCATCATTGTTGCCGCACAGGATCTTGATGACACGAGACCTTTTATGCTTATACGAGAGATTACGTTGTGCTTACGGGAGTACGGGCTTGCATCATCGCTTATTCGTTAAACCTATTTGAAATACGGAGTTGTACTGGAATAATGAGTGATTTGATCTGTGGGTGGAACAGCCTATATGCGCTATCTACCCAAGAACCATTCCAGTAGTAGATGCATACTACCATGGAAAAGCCGCCTACGCTGCACTTGCTACCACCGGCTCAGCCTGAACAGCCGATTTCTTTGCGCTTTTCATCTTTTTTGGCCTCTTGCCTTTCTTCATGGGTACCACTTCACTTGCACTAGCTGATGCCTGCCCAGTTTCCGCACTCGCATCGTTTCCGGCTGTAGTCTTGGGATCAGATGCGCCCGCGATCTGTTCAAGCTGTGTCACAGAGTCGGTACGAACAAGATCGGTCATCTTCGGTTCTTCCTTTGGAGACGCTGTGATTGGCGCTTCTTGCTCTGCTTTCTTGCGCATCTGCCCCCGTTCTATGCTGAACATCAACTCGTCATCCGAGAACGGCTCAGCCGTAGCAAGGAGTTGTGGGTTGGACGCGGTGGCTCCCACTTCACCAGAGACATCTTGGACACTCTCTGCAACGAGTGGATTCTTGGTAGGCTCTTCAACAATTGGCTGAGGTTCTGCTACAACCTCTGGTTTGCTGTTGCTGGCATCCTCACTCTCGATAGCAATTACAGAGTCTACATTCTCATGCGACTCAGAAATCTCAGCGACAAGCTCAGGTGTACGAGCGGTGATATTCTCAGCCTTGACTATCGGCGCTGATGCAGGCGTCGCCGGCTTTGGAACGTAATTGCTCATCATGGTCTTCCAGACGAGTTGCAGCAGTCTGCTGCTACCCTCAACTGTCGTGATGAAGTCCGGTTTTCGAAACGGGTTTGGGTCTTCGGTCACAGCATTGTGGAGCGCATCTTCAATATATACTGGATACCACGCATCGTCCTCGGGCAGCAATGGAAATGCATGTTGTCTTGCAACTGCAAGCATGTCAAAGATGGTCACATCTTCTCCAAATGATTTGATCTTGGTTTGTGCAAGCTCTGCAAGGCCTGGTAGCCCGTAGCGTACAGCGGCGCAATACACGCATACACTAAGCTTATAGCTTTCGGGAATGATCTTGTCCGAACCGGCATGTACGCTAAGAGTCTGGTATTTACCGGTGTACAGATAGTGTACTAGAGTGTGCGCAGTTGCTAGGTCGAGCTCCGGTAGGGGTACGGATTGCTTGATGAAAGATGGGTTATAGGATCTTGCAAGCACTTCGCTTCGGCTCAAGACGCTCTCGTGGACTAGAAAGCGAACTGCTTCGGGTCCTACTTCTAACACAGTTATGTGTGTAGAGGCATAGGGACTATGAAGGTTGATTGTTAGCTCCCTGTTGCTGTGTATAGCTCAGATGAACTTACGACTTCTCCTCCGCGCTAACGGTCAGGTCTCCAAAACCATGCAAGTATTCACCCGTTCCATCTTGCTCATGCGACACGCCGAGGGTGGAGTTGTCGCTGATTGACATGGTGTACTAGCCTCAAAGCGACACTTGCTTTTGGCTCCAAAAGGCCCGTTTAGCAAGCTCCATATATCATAGACTTCAAAAATGAGGCTCGAACATATGCGCTGTCAGATTGCCAGATTCGAAGAGTGTATATGCACTTCTGAGTTGTCCGTCCTACGATGGATTTCAGCACTCAAGATACGACAATCCTGTTGGTCAGCCTGGTCGTCCTTCACTGCACCCCGCGAACGGTGGGTCCAATGAAAGAAGAGACAGCACAGAGCCGAACAACATCGGTAAGATCGGGCTCGGATGCATTGTCGTTTATGCCTCAACCTGATTGTTTGATGCGCAAGACCCTGCTCCCGTGCTTTAATCCACATCGATATCGCTCGGGAATTGAGTCGTGAGTGGGTGCTATAGGAAACCGACAGGTATGCTTCCATAGACAAGGTACTACGTGTCCAGTTTTCTTTCACCCGTTCGTATTTCAGGCTCGTGTGGAATGATCTGCAACTCCTCCATCGTCGCTGTAATATTCTTCATCGTCTGGACTCAATCTTCGCGTCATTTCGTATTCTTCAGCATTTTGTACCTCTTTAATGGGGCTGTCATCGATATTCTTGAACATCCGGTAAAAGATAATGCCGGTAACTGCAGCAGCGCTTGCCAAGCCAAAATACAGCCACTGCTGATGAGGGTCTCTTGCCAGGGGTGCAATGAGTATGCCTAATACACTGCCACCGGCGTTTGTAAGAAGAAACAAGCTCATGATAAAGCTCTTCATATTCTCTGGCGCTTTCGCATACGCCAGCTCCAATCCCGTGATACTGGCGAGAATTTCGCTAAGAGCGACAAGCACATATGCTGGTGCTTGCCACGCAACGTGAATTTCGTTTGGTTTGAACCTTCCCTCCCCGATTTTGCCCGCGTTGCAGTTCGAAGGGCTATAATAGCATGGAGGTGCTGCGTAGATGTATGTTTGGAGGATACCAGCGTACAACATAGCGAGTGCAGCTACCAAGAAGCCAAGCGAAATGCGCATTATCGGCTGGAAGGCAAGATGCAGACGGGTACGGATGAATGGGTAGATGAAGCGGTCCATAAGTGGAATTAGTATGATGATCGTGATGGGATCGATATTGGGCAGAATGTCGTTAGGAAGACCATGTAGCTCCATCTGTCCAGCTTGCGATATAAAGTTGTTCAACATCTGCGAGAACGTGACCCAATAGATGGGAAAGAACAAGAAAACTTTACATGCCACCAGTGCTGTCTTCAGCTCTTCGACAAACTTATCGTCCCAGGTCACTCTTGACTTGAGTCTTCCATGTCCTTGGGCCGAGGCTTTCGCTTTGTTAAGGTCGCCGCCATTCCTTGCGGCAATGTACAGAGCCCGGAAGCAGTTACCAATAACACCACCTTGAGGCGGTTTGATGATGTATTGCTTCTTCCCTCTTACTAGTATCACGTAACCGACGCAAAACATGATCAGCGGTAAAAGGTATGCGCCCCAGAAACCAACATGCAACTCCAGCATTGTGGTTGCGATTGCAGATATCGAACCAACGTTTATGCACATGTAGAATACCATGTAGATCCTCTGCACAGTGAGCTCTGGGTCGACAACGACTTTTTTCCCACTTGGCAGAGTTTTGACAAAAGGCCTGTTGGACCGAACTTGCTCAGCGATCAATGGTGACACATTACTTTTGATACCACCCGTACCGAGTCCAATGATTAACATGGCAACAACAAGACCGGGGAAAGCGGCCCCACTCCGGATAGCCCATGGCAAGCTCGTCAAAAAGAGAATCGTGATCCCGCCCATGTAAATCAGACTGAACCATTTGATAGTTGCGTACTTGCCGAGATACTGGTCCGCAACAATGGCCCCGAACAAGGGCGTTAAATAGCACCAGAACTGGAAAAAATTGGTCATTGCAGTAGCGCCTGACTGTTTTAGGCCAAGAGCTCCAGGAAGACCATTGGCGTCGTTGTATCCGTTGGCGATGTAGTTTTGGAATGGCCCTGATAAACCATAGTAGGCAAAGCGCTCACATAGCTCCACGATAGCGACCAAGAAGGCGCCGCGAGGAAGAGTGTCAGCTACCCGCGGAAGAAAGAGGTCGTCTTCTGATGTGGGAACAGCTCCGATATGAACGGGCGGTTCAAGACCTGTGTCCTCCGAGCCCTCATCTGCAATTTTGCCGTGAACAGTCAACCTTGCGCTTGCATCCTCGGTTTGTGCAACAGTCGTATATGCGCCCCTGTTTTCGGCATCTCGACTCCGCGAAGACGCCATGTTGAGGGTCGATTTAGTCCTCCGCTATTCCGATGTACCACAGCTTTCCTCCTCTTGTATTTCCCTTATACCTGCCCCGGTCTGAAGTTGAGATGGTTCACTGCAAACTGTCCACACTAGAGTTTCATCGCATTATTTATAGAAACATGGGTTATATGAATGCAAGCATCGCGAAGGCGATGTTCTGTGAAGATTTTGAAGAATGGAATCTGAACTGTAGTCCATGAAGACACGCGTTCACGAAGTGAGACGGTGCTCGCGTCGAGCTAAGCCGAATAGAGCACTGAATAGCCCCACCATCTTTCACAAGCGCAGAACATAGCAATACGTCGACTGTTGTGAATTCTACAATACTGTCTCATCGAACACATAGTCTGACCTTTATTTCTTCTCTGCAAAGAATCTAACCAACTTCCCCTCCACGTCCTTCACGCCCAGCCCACCAGTCAGACTACCCCTAATCCACTTGGGTAGCTTATCCTGTATCCGCTTGCTCCCATACCGTCTGTCCAACATCAAAATGGCCGCATAATCACCTTTATGTCTGATAGCCCGTCCCACACATTGATTCACAGAGCGCATACATGCGTTCTCGTAAAACTCGCGTGCTGCTGCCTTGCCGTCACCACCGTTTTTTGCTTCTTTGGCAGCGATATACTGCATCTTTGCTTTCCACTCCGCTGAATGCGCATTCGGAAATGGAAGACCAACGACGACAACACCTCGGCCCAGTGCGTCACTGAAGTTGATGCCCTCGGATAGCGTTCCACCAATGACGGCAAAGAGCAGCGCACCTCGGCCGTTACCAGATGCGATTGCCGCACTGTAAGCATTGAGAACCGAGTCGACAGCTGCCTCCTTGACCGCCGATGACGTGTCTATATTCTGTTGACTGCGCTGCTCTAAGAACACCGGCTTGCTGTTTTTGAAAGTATCCCAAAGGGTAATGTTTGATTGTGATGGCTTCAGGCGCTTCCACGCCGCGATACAGGTGTCCAGATACGAGTAGCTGGGGAAGAAAACCACCACTCCATCGGGTATGTCTCGCGCAAAAGCCGAAATAGCGACCCCGAGATCAACCATGGTCTTTTCTTTGTTGCGGGTTTCAAAAGTAAAGTCGAACTCGGCACCACTAGTCGCTCGTACGACGGGTACAGCGAGCAGGTTCGAAGGCGGTATGACATGCCCGCAGGACAGCGTTTTGATCTTCGAAGGGTCCAGATATGATAGCAGATGCTGCTCATAGTCGCTCATTGGGGACATTGTACCGCCCGCAAGTACTACTGCTCTTGCTTCTTCAACGATATCTTTGAAATGAAATGTAGGGTCGAGAAGCATGTATCGCAGCGTTGTTACGCTATCCTCCTTTGAGTAGAAGAATCGGCCTTCCGCAGAAGGGTTCATTAAGGACAGCAGAAAAGCTTGTACATGCATGAGTACAGGAACACTGTGACGGGGTCCCTTCTTGGACACTTGCTTTGTCGACTCATCGACTGTTTGCTCAGCGTACGCGGTATATCCGTCAACCTTTCGAGCAAGTCTGCTTTCTTGGAGGTATGCATTGAGCTTGAAAACATTGATCTGGTCGACACCCTTTCCGGACATTATAGACACCATGTCAACCAGGCCGTCAGTTGCCTTTGGATCGGCGTCGATAGACTGCAAATATGCAAGGATCGAATCCAGGATCCTGACTGTCTGGGCAACGTAGACTCGATTCTTCCCTTTTAGCTTGTTGCGAAACTTTTGAAGATAGGCTGTAAGCTGGGCGCGCGCTTGTTGAACTTGGCCGAGCGTTACGGAAACGGAGTAAATGCCTACTATAGCATCCATCAAGTTGTGCGCTTCATCAATAATGACGACATGATCTTTAAGAGATAGCCCAAATGCCTCGCGAGCAGTACGTTGTAAAAGCAATGGATACGGCAAGGTTACAATCTAGGCTCGTTAGTACATAGACGTATGTTGAATTACTGCAAAGCCGAGCTCACCTCGCAGTACTTCGTCGCTGGTCTTGAAGCATAATAGGGACATACTCCCAGCTTCTTGCCCAGCGATCCGAGATCCTCAATGTCTCTGATCTTTGCAAGCGCATGATCACGGAAGTTGTTGATTAGAGGTTCGCTTTCTTTACTCGGCATATGTGGGCATCGGCTTTCGGTGCTGCTATTCTGTTGCAGCTCTAGGCATCGTTCGTTGATAGCAGTGGCGCTTCCGAGGTTATTGACTTTATCATTAATACATAGATTCTTCCTTGATCCGAGTGTAAGGTGTTTGACATCTTCCACAAGGGAATCTATATCAGCGACGTTCGTATCATCATCTAGAGCAATAGCAGGCGGCATCTTGACCCGACCCAATTCACTCGAAAACTGCGTCAGTTGAGAGTGTGTGCGGGAACAGAAAAATATCTTTGTCTCGTCGGGCACCTCCCCATCGTCGTTCTTCGGAGCATCGTCAGCATACCCCAACGATGCCATCAATGCCTGTGTTTCTGCCGATAGTCCAGACTCATTAAAGGTACCGCCTCTTGCCCGCTTTTGAGATTCCTGGTCGCTTTCATAGTCATCAAGCACGAATTGTGCTTCATCGTCATCGTTCGTTTCACCCGACACAACCTTCCGTCTCTTGTAACTTGACTCGCCATTCTCATAGCGCTCTTTTGCACGCTTCTCTTTTGCTTTGATTTTTGCAATGCGTTCATTCAACTCTTGTTTGCGACGAAGTGCTTCTTGCTTACGTTGCTTTTGCGCATGCTCGACGATCCACGATGGCTCTTCGCTATTCGCTGTATCGGCTGCAAATCCTTCTTCAAAAGTCCTCCTTTTGTGGTCTCTCAACCATGTCAAGGAGCCGCATATCAGGCTCAGTGACTTGCCTGTCCCGGTCGGTGATTCAAAGATGCCGACCTGGCCATTTTCTAAACATTCGTACACAGCGCCCATGAACTCATTTTGTATATCATAGGGCGTGTATGGGTGATGAAAGTCCCGTTGCTCGGTTTTGCTGACCATTTTGAAAACGTATACCAATGAGTGGATGTAAGTAGTTCGAAGACGCGGCGCGTTCACGAAAACGGGTGTTCACGTGCCGCGCTAAGTACCCACTAGCGTATGAACGACGAAGCAGTCCCTCTATCTATGGATGGATAGAATGCTGACAAAATAAGACATGTCCAACTCCATCTGGCACGTGATTTAATGGAAGTACAGTTTTATGGGAAAGGACAGCGGGCGATTTCAATAGAATGTAACAACATATGGGAATGAGCGCTATGTAACAAAGTTGGCACGTTAGTATCATTTTGTCATAAGATGTTTCCAACAAAGATCTTCATATCGTTATATTGGAACTCTATAGAACCATTGAGATCCGGGTATCATATGCCTGTACTTGTATTCTCTTTGTCGTGGAGCATCAAGACTCTTCACTGCCACCCCTGCTTACTTCCCGTGCAATGAACGCATCAGGGTCCACCGGGCAGCTTTTAACATCTACCTTGTGCTTATCTGCCCATGCTCTGACTTTTGCCTTGTTGATTACAGCGTCTGCGCCGCCCTTCTTCTTCTGTTCGAGGACGTCCATCATCTGCAAGGTTGCAATGATGTCCTCAGGTACAATGTATGTCTTTTCGCGAAGTTCCTGCACAGTAAGTGTCTTCTTAGACGGACATGAGAGGAGGGTACGAGCAAGTGTTTGTGACCAATAGTGGTTGTAAGCAATGCGACCGAGATCGGACAGCGCTGTCGTGATGTTAGCACTAGTCGGTGTATAAGAGGACAGACCAGAAATGGCTTACGCTTCTCAGGACCACCCAACCTCTCTTCTCGCCTACTCATTTCGTAGCTTGCGCCCATCAATAGCTGGCCCAATCCTTGCTTCTGCCACGGTGGGAAGACTAATATACATGCTAGGTTATTGTTGTCCCAACTCATCTTCTCCTTGCTGAAGAAGCCCACGACCTGTCCCTGCGCGCCGACTCCACCTGACGGAGTCTCCTCATCAAGACTGGTGTTCGGTATGCTAGGTGTGGGATTGTGCGCAACTAGGAGATAGTACAGGAAGGTCGTGACGTCGTAGAAGACCGATTTGGTGTCGAGGAAGAGCTTCGCAAAGAGCGATAGGTTCTGCGCATAAAGCTTATTCTTCTCGCCATCGATCTCGTACAGGGAATAGTTGTCTTTTGTGTAGACGTTAATGCCCGGTGGTGGAGTGTTGCGAAGGGGACATGCTTTCTGGGGCGTATCAGCTCAACCGGTCCTTATGAACTACAAAGGCCCTTCAGACGTACCAGATGGCCCAAGAAGCCAACGAGTTCCTTGCTATACTTGAAGCACCACTGGCACACATAGAGCCGTTCGACGCGTCTTCCCACAAGCTCTTCTGGGTAAAAAGACGGGTACCATGGCTTGATCAGCAGCGAGCCGAGCACAACCTCGAGGACGTTGGGGCCCGTAGGCGGTTTCTGTGAGTTCTTGAGTGCGGGGGTGGTGGGCGTCGATGTCATGGAGGCTACATCGGGGGCCATTGAACAGGTGCTGACGCGCGGAGGGCTCGTTTCACATGCTGCTATGCGGTCGTGGGGTGACGCGGAGCCCGCAAGCATTGTTAGCGCGACGCGGCTGCACGTGACCGTGTCTTCCCATGTAGTACGTATATTTTATTTAACAAGGGCAACGAGTGACATGACCCCTAGAAACTACTTCTTTGTGTTCCTCCATAATGACCCATGAGAAAAATCCCTTGCTCAAAAGTATCCTGATATCGAACTTCGCGACCACGACATAGGCATCCTCGTTCACTTTTTGTGTGGACTCGCGGGGGGAGTAAAGATCCCCGAAGATCTCGTTATATCTTGCATCCCGCACTGGTACAAATGCAGTGCTTTCAGTACAGCCTTATTCTCCGAGTAGTAGTTCCAGGCATCCTTGTCTTCCATGATGGCTGGCAGGCGAATGTGCAGCTGCAGGATGATTGCGTTGCGGAGACCATGATCCAATTCTGGGCCGGCATCGTCATAGATCTCTGCAGCCAGATAGACAATAGTCAGAGGATTGTGAATGAAGGGAATGCGGTCAATGATTGTCTTGGAGACTTTCTGCTTGATTGATTCGAGGTTATACTGCGCACATTGTCAGAACTGTAAATCATGTAAATCATGGAGGGAGCCTGACCTTGTCGCATGCGATGAAGAGGGCCAGCAAATCGCGCATGATACAATCTTTCTCAAATCCGTTTCTGAGCGCAAAATTGCTGAAGATTGATCCCGTAGTCGGGTTGGATACTCCATATATCTCCTTGAGCATTGTGCTCACGGTCTGGCTGTCCTCAGGCAGTGTGATAGAGCGTTGGCTGGTTTCCTTCAGAACGTTAGCAGGGCTCAGGTGCTTTGTAGGTCGCACACAGGTCTCTTACTGTGAAGCATCCATCGCAAACCGCGTTGAAGTACAGCGATCGTGTGCAGAGCCTAGCTGCCGTGTCAGCTACATCGACAAAATAAGGGACATGATGCTTACAAAACGCGATGAGCTTGAAATACCCTACCGGCGGCGATGATGGTGAAGTCGGTACATTTTCCAGTCTTGTAGATACTGTGGCTGTTAGCCTATAGTCTGAGATTTCTGCTTGAAGTATTTACCGGGCCCATTCTGATGTGTTCTCGTTCGGAGCTGCTACCCACAACTGACATTTCTGGTTGGTATAGCCCTCCTTCTCCATGCTGAAGTCGGTACGGGCCAGTGCAGCATTGCTATGCAATTGAATCAACATTGCTCGAGTACGGGTAGAAAAGGCGATACATACGAAGCAGCTTCATGTACTTCAAAGTAAGAATTGCCAACCATGGTGGCAATCCGCCCAAGCGCGTGTACAAAGTCCCCGGCGTCCGCACTAGTCGTGAAGTACAGGTCGATTTGCATGTGTGGCATGAGTATACAAACTTTCTTGCATGAGTTATTGAAACGAGTGCAGACTGCACGCGCTTTAGATACCTGGAAGAAGACTGGCTCCTCGGTATCCGGAAACTGTGCCATCACGGCAACACCAGGCTCGGTCTGGTACACAAGTCCAAACTCGGAGTTAGCACGATCAAGCACCAGCTGCGCTGGCCCTGAGGATTTGACATCGTGGCTGACCGTAAACGACTGTATTAGCCAGGTTATCGGGCCCTGCTCATCAAGGGAGGTAACTGATGAGGTCATGGCTACTGAAAGACCAGGGTTTTGCAGAATAGTAAGTTATACGAGATCGGCGACAGAAGCCTTGAGAGTGTAAATCACAATAGGTGCTGAGGTTTGGTTGTACGTGGAACTAGAGCATATTAGAATCCTGCCAACGTATATGTTGGTGAGATGGTACCTGAGCGGTGAGAGGTGAAACCTCTATAGGTAAGTGAGTCCACAGCATGGGTTTTGCATTAAGATGAGGTGAGAGAGACTCCATCACGTACTGTCAATATTTCGACATGGCTACAGAGGGAGTAGTCTAGACATTCGTGCTGCCCCTAGCAGCCCCATACATACGCATCCCAAGGATACCAAACATCGGCATCGATAAAAAAACTTTTCACCTAAACCACCCTCTAGCTCATCTACTCTTGCCAACTCTTCCACCCCTCCTCCCTCCACACCCCACTCTTTCCCCCCTCCTTAAACACCACTCTCACCCCATCCACCCTCTGAAACCTATCCACCGCCTTGCACATATCAACCACACTCAGTGCCGCGCCCATGACAGCCGTCAGCGCTTCCATTTCCACGCCTGTCTGCCCCGTACACTGGACTTTGGCTTCGATTTTTACGCCTCCGTGTCCGTCGGAGAAAGGAGCAAGTTCGACGCTGACGTGTGTGAGTGGGATGGGGTGACACAGGGGTATTAGGTCTGGGCATTTTTTCGCGGCCATGATGCCAGCTATGCGGGATACGCCTAGGACGTCGCCCTTTTTAGCGGTGTTGGAGCGGATGAGGGAGAGAGGGGTTGGGTTTGTGAAGTGGATTGAGCCGATGGCGATGGCGGTGCGGATGGTGTGTTGTTTTGTAGACACAGATACCATGTGTGCGGATCCCGAGGGGGTAAGGTGTGGTAGGTATGGTGCTGGTGATTCTTTCTCGTCATCCTTTTCCTTCTCTTTTGGCTGCAATGTGAGGTCGTGAGCTGGTGGTGTTGACCGCGAAGAGGTCGAGTACATTTTGCGCGTAGTGGATTCATGAGAAACCTGGCTTCCCAAATCTTCGTGTAGACTTGGTCTCTTATTCGTGCTTGAGAGCGTTGCTGGTATCGTCCTGGCTTCTGCTTGTCCCTGTTGTGATGGTACCTCAGACTCCGTCTCGTTGGTCAAGAATCCAAGGCCTTCGGCTTGAAACTCATCCCAGTTCATCGATCCCTCTGCATCTCCATGCATTTTGCCTCTATTCGCAAAGACTTGGTGCCAACGCACTGCCATTCGTTCTGCAGCTTCGTTGCTGAGATCGTGATCGCGAACCATTCGATCAAGCACAGCTTGAATACGCCCATCCATGATGTCTTTCTCTACCTGGCCAATGGTGTCGAATCGCGTCTGCCACTTCTTCACCATAATCTTCAGCCACGTCTGCAATGTCGCTTTGTTCTGACTGGTCCACACATTGTATGGCAGCGTGTCGATACGCGGATACGAGCTTTTGAGGCGCTGAGCCATTTCGAACACATAGGATTGGAGTTCTGGGACCGAACCCTCAAACGTGACAATGAGATTCTCGTCAATAGGAATAAATCCTGCAGTGGGAACCTGCAAATGCAGGCTATCACTCGGCCTGGATGCAGTGAAAGTGATCGGATTCATGTCGTTGCCATTTATGTCTTGGTCTTTATCTTCGGACTTTGATCGAGTCAATATAGATACTGAACCTATTCCAGGCTTCCGAAGTTGTATAGCGGTACCCTCGTTTACCGGTGCTGTTGCTCTTATGCTCTCGGAATCAAGATCAGTACTTTGTAGCTTTGGCTCCTCCCAGCCCTTGCCAACCCTCTTCATTGCTTGATCGAGTATAGAGTCCAAACTCTTCGAAGTCGGCTGGTTCTTCTGATCATTGGTATCCACGGGTATGGGAATTCTCTTAGCCTCCCGCTCTTCATTCTCGTGCTCTTCAAGCTGCTTCAGTAGCAAACGCTTCTCCGCCAAAATCTCTTCTTTTCGTGTCCTGATTTTTTCCAGTTTTTGAGCTTGTTCGCGAATTTCGTTGACTTGTTGCTTATGGGCATCAAGCAGTCGGTCAATATCGTCAAGCTCTTGCAACTGCCTAATAGAGTCTGTTGACACTGCGCCCCACTTTTTGCCCGGTTTGACCGGCTTCGTCCGGTTGCGCTGTATTATGCGATCCTGCAACTCATAAATCTTATCCTCGGTGTTCTTCAATGCCCTCTGGATCTCGGAAGGTATCCTGATCTCCTCTAAAAAGGCTTTGAGTTCAATCATATCTTGTTTCTGGCGTTGCAGCATCATAACCTCACGGTTTTGTGCTATATATTGTTGTGTTCGATCGGCAATCGATTGAGCGTCATGCATCAGCTGTTTGTGGCTCACTTCCTCTGATCCCTGAAGTATGGATAGCAGCTGACTATGGGCTTTTTTGTTAAGATATCTGAATCTGTGACCACTGCCGGACTGGAGCTTCGCGTCCGCAACCATTCTCCAGTAAGAGTCATACTTTTTATCGGTCAAACCATACTTCTGTCGCACTTCCTCAAGGTTTGGTGGTAGAGTGGCTCTTTGGGGACCGAACCGAGCAACAGATTGCACCATTTCTTCGTATTGAAGACCATGCTTGGTCCATACCCTAACCGATGGGTTTTTACGCCGGGGCTTCTCTGCAAGCGGTTTGGAAGTGGAGAAGGCTCGAACAGTGTTTGCGGACTGCAACGTTGTGAAATGCAGACGCGGCATTGAGGGTTGAAGAATATTTGACGTTGGAGGGAATATATGGGAACTCTTTGCACCCGAACGCAGGGCTTGTAGAGGAGACGGGCGCCATGAACCTAAGTCTGCCAATGGCTTTTCATCTACATTTAGTCAGTAATGCACATCACACACATACACACAAAGATGGTATGCAAGCATAAAAGGGTATATCATTCGAGTATGTAATCGGGAACGATGATGCTCCAGACGATAATATAGACTCACAATGAAGGAGAACGCTCAAAACGCCATTAATGCAACGGCCGTCATATCGCAACAAGCCTCCAAGCGATCTGACATGATTAAGAAGAGGAAAAAGGGACCACAATCACCCACCAATCAAGATCATGGGCCTGTTCTCCATGCTGGCGAGATCTTCCAGATCAGCGTGCTTTTCTGCTTTGCGCTTTACAGCTGCTCCTACAACTTCGAGCAATTCGCGTTCTCGCTGGCCCCAGCCAAGTATAGTTTCATTGCTCAGACGGCCCTCATGACGGTCCATTTCGATTTGCCTGATACGTTCGAATGCTTCTTGATCGATGGGTTCACCGTTGTTACCCTGCCGCAGTACATCGCGCAATGATACCTCGGCGTTTCCATGTAGGCACACCTTCAGATTGCCGTCACTTGTTATGCGCAGTCGATTACAAGAACCGCAAAAATCGTTGGTCATGCTTGTAATGAAGCCAACCTTGCCTACAAAGCCAGGAACTTCGTACGTCTTGCTAGTGTCGTTCTTGTGGCCAGGAACCGGCCTGAGTCTTGGGTATTTTGTCCTGATGATATCCAGCATTTCTTGGAAGCTGATCATCTTGTTCTCACTCCATTTGTTACCGCCAAAGGGCATGTATTCGATGAAGCGAACTTCGATGTCTTTCTCGCGGCCCATCTCGACAAAGGGCAGGATCTCGCGCTCATTTAAGCCACGCATTACAACACAGTTGACCTTGAGTTTCACATTTGCTCCCAACTTGTTCATCTCGAGTATGCGGTCGATCGACTTCATCACTGCATCGAAGCCTTTCCGCCTCGTCATAATCTGGAACTGGAACGGATCCAGGGTGTCTAGACTTAGATTGACGCCTGTCAAACCAGCCTCGACCATGGCGTCGAGTTTCCGGTGCAGCGATATGCCGTTGGTGGTAAGGGCGAGCTCGCGCAGGCCTTTGGGGCGCAGACTACCGATTTGCTGCATGAGGGGCACTATGTCGCGGCGAACGGTGGGTTCGCCCCCAGTAAGGCGGATCTTGGTCACACCTTGCGACACAAATAGCGACGAGAGGTAGAAGATTTCGGGTGTGGTCAGCATGTTGGCGGACGGCGATAGCGGAACGCCCTCTGTTCCTCGTCAGCCAAATTTTTTGTCGAGTCATGTTCATGGCACACCTTCGGGCATGCAATACAGACATCGCAGATTGCAGCGCTCTGTGATGCTGATGCGCAGATAGTCATGCTGCCGGTTGAACGTATCGGTCAAAAAGGCAGAGAAAGGCTTCGCATTCTTGATTGCTGCTCTCCGGTCCTCACCGCCCGATCGCTGCGGTGTCGGTACTGGGGAGATGCCTGGGAGGAACTCGGAAACTGGCTCCCGTGGTTCTGTATTTGTCGCAATACATCTTGTCCGTATGGCGGAGATGGGCGATCGTCCAGATAGTTCGCCACGGCCAGCGACTCTTCGCAATGTTTGGGGACCCGCCCGTACCCTAGCCATGTGCGCCATCATACCGAGTCGAGTCTGGAGGAACCGTGTCTAACATTGGGAGGGGCAGACATGGGAAAGTTATATAAGCCAGTGGACAATAGGGCGGAGATGACTGAGATGCGAACTGCTTTAGTGGGCTGTCCGAGGCCCATGCAGGGATCTGTAGTCGCACTTGGCAGCATTACTAAGGATTGTGCTCGCAACTGGTGGGGGATTCTCGCCAATGACAGTCTGATGATAATCGTATCCATTGAAGTCTGTTGCCACAGCGCTGTGGCCTACCTGTTGTGCAGAGTGACATGTTCTCTCAAAGGCTGATAGTGCGCAAAAATGAGTTTTGTAACATGACGCAACAATTCCGGCCGTACTTCTCCGTGCCTGTCTTCTTCCACTATGTACAGTACTCTACAAAAGACCACTACTATCCTTTCGAGAAATGTATACGCAAGTATTACGTTCTTTTATATTGCTACCAACTCGGCACTTGCGCCCGACATACTACATCCTTCGCTTTTCCCGCCTTTCGTATTTCTTTACCAGAGCTTCGAATCTTTTTTTGCCTCGCTGCGACACGAATTGTAGTCGGACATTGCATTTTCTTTGTAGAGTTGCACCCCTTCCTGTCCGCTCGGCCTTGAATTCCCTAGCCAGTTTCTTCTGGGTAGGCATGCAATACTCGTTGTGCATCATATCTGCAGGGGCACCACGTGTGGCTAGCTGTTTTTGATGACTCTGGTCGTAATATCTTCCCGTAGTAGGCATGCCTCCTCGCTCCCACACCATCTCCGGATGCCACTCCAAGCAACTCCCACACGTGACCTTCAAACATGGTCCCTCATAGCCGATCTCATTCTTCCGGTTCCCTGTTCGTTTTCGTTGTATACCACCGTAATGAAACTGGTAAAGCTTCATGTTACAATCTCTGGTTGTACTTATTCTGCGGACAAGTCGCTTTTGTGTTGTGGACTGATTGCTCTGGACATTAGAAGGGCTGTAGGCATTCCAGATGTGCTTTGGTATGATTAATATTAACCCCATGATAACGTCTGTGGTTACGAATAGAGGACTGGTTTTTGCACAAAAGCACTAATGCGATTCAATAAGCATTCGCCTGGCCAGCTTGCTACACGTACTATGTATATGGAGGGGCGCAAGCGATTGTCAGTCCCACGATTGTTGTTTCATTGCTTCTCATTGTTGCCGTCTGCTTGATAAAGAATAAATTGCTTCCTGCGACGAATAAGACATTGTATGGAAAACGGACCCAGTAGAACATCTATTCAGAGAAAGTCAAACAATCTCTTTGATCAAGTCTATAGATCTTAAAAATGCAACGATGCGACCATCCGCTATGTAAAATACCTACAAAGATTGCAATACCGATTCTTAATCATAACACCTTTCCCATAGTCCTCCGCTTCGAGCAAAGCTTTGGCTCTCTACAAACTTACTCAGTGTGCACCTACCATAACGGTCCCCGCCACAGAACTCCAGTGGTTGCACACGGTCATTTACAATAACGCGGACCGACTCTTCTTTCTCACCCTTGCATTGCAGCTTCTCGACATACAGGCGGGCGGCGAACGGCACTGTCCATGCAGCCGAGTAGCCATGAGTCTGCTTGGTGTCTTCAATCGTAGTGTTAGACAATGCCTTGGTCTTGTTGTACAGTCCAAGCGCAGCTAGAACACCACTGATGTCATTATCGTGACTGAAATCAGCGTATACTTTGCGGTCCAGAGGGAATGTTTTTGAGTCCGAGTCAAGTGTCCGGTTTGTGTTGGTGTTGTCTTCAACAGGCTTCTTTGTCAGGCGTGCCAACAGCTCATTGACATACCCGATTCCCTGCGTAGGCCCAAGTGGGTTTCCTACACTGTAGCCGTAATACTTGCCCAGAGTCTGGAAGTAGTCATACTCGCGCCACTCCTTGTCTGTGAACAGCTTGCAAAACTCTGACAACTGTGCCGAAGGGTGTGCAAGGGTGTCGAAAGGGCACATATCCATCATATAGACAATAGAGGTCGCGCTGAGATTGGTACCGAGAGCTGAGTTGACGCGGCTTTGAATCGGCGGCACAAACTTAGCAGCCCACACCTGCTGCGCTCGGTCTCCCAGGCCATGGCTCGGTCCGCCTTCGAAAGCAGGGCAGACATCGTGAGACAGTGTGTTGTTCCAATTTGGGCCTTCTGGAATGACCAAATCAATCTTCTGGGGCTTTGTGTTCAACGACTGTGCAACACCCATGAGCCAGCGCTCAGCTGACTCTACGACACGATGCTGGCCACCAGCGCGCACGAATGGCGTGTTCTCGTCCATGAGCTTCTGGTACCGGCGGTAGAAGTGTGCGCCCGAGTTCACCATCTCCTGCCTTCCCGCATCCGTCAACTCATCCGCACCCAATGTATAGTCATAATCCTTCAAGAACTTGAATGCATCCGGGTACGATGTGCTAGTGTTCTGGATTTCGGCAATCAGGAGGTGATAGGCTATCGATTTGCCAAAGGTCGGATCGCGGCCACCATGGCGGGAGAGGACGTTTGCAAAGGTGACTTCGCAGCCTTTGGGAGGGGCAACGTCTATTTCAGAGGGCACAGAATACCACAGGGAATACTGGCCAAGGAAATGTGTTGTCTTGGGGCTGCAACGGTAGCCCTCGTCGATCGTGTCGCAAGACTTTGAGGTAGAGAATGGGAACAGGCTAATGGACAATCAATGGATGAGATGGACAGAATGATCAGATGGTAAATACTTGAAGAGGGCGTAGATGACTACACAGGCACCAACTGCCTGAATTGCACGACGACGTAGTCCTGAAGCTTCATTGTAGCGTCGCGACGGCTTTGACGTCAGCGGTTCCTTCTCGCTCATAGGCAGAGACGTATAGCTTTGAGGTCGGTTTCCGCGCATCCTGTTCCAAGGTTGCGACATCTACAGAGTGGTGGTGTATGTGGTAGTGTTGGACCGTCTTGAGCTGGTCAAGTATGGGAGAGAAGCGGAAACTGAAACCGTAACGCCTGTGCCGACCCAAAGGCAAGTCTCAGGACGCGCCAAGGCACCGTCTCTCCAGATTCCTGGCGAACAGGACGCGCAACATTGTTGCATGGAAAATGATGTGCGACGATCCACGAGCGGTGGAGACCAACATGGTGCTATTCACGGGCAATGGGTTTACCCTGCTCTGGGCTGTCAGTCGTTGTGCAGGGTGCTCGTGCCAAGACCGCTAGGATGAAAGGACGAAAGCTTCGAGAAACCTCAACACTCCCAATAGGCGCTGCCTTTACCTTTTGTCGATGCTAGTCCAAATGTACATTGACGAGGCCTACAAACGCTCTTGACGCTCTATCGACACTATGATACGGTTATGGCCGTTGTGCAGCCCGGTGTCGGATAATGCACGTTGCGGAGCGATAACGCCGTTCGGTCAGCACCAGATAATCGGCAACGCATCTCCTCATTGGCTGTTACCCCATCTTTTGACTTGGAATCTATCTCCCTATCTGTAATAGGGTCCCTATCAAGCTTCGTCAAGCTTTGGCCACTCTGTTGGACATGCCTCCTTCGGATAGTTGTGGCACTTGCAGCATGGCTGACGAAACTCGTCCCGTATCTCCGCTTTCAAGGGACATTGTTCGTCTTAAATAGTACCATCCTTTGCCTTCCATTAACACGCGACCTCTTGACACTCTCAGTGCGAGTTGAGCAGACACCATGAGGTCCAGCCAGCAACAGAACCTCGACGATGAGGCCCAGCTGCAGGGTAAGTCTGGAACAGACGTCATGCTTCGGGGATGTCCATTGACTTAATCTTTTTAAATAGCGCTTGGCCACAAGGGCGAGTTGCAACGCAACTTCAGTCTTTTGTCCATGCTGGGTCTAGCTTTCGCCATCTTGAACTCATGGACTGCCCTCTCTTCGTCGCTCGGGCTTGCCTTGCCATCAGGCGGCTCAACAAGCGTTATCTGGGGTCTTCTCACAGCCGGTATCTGTAACTTAGCGTTAGCTGCGTCGCTTGCCGAGTTTCTATCCGCATATCCTACAGCCGGTGGACAGTAAGACTCGATCGAGCACTCGTCTTGGATTATGCTAACCCAAGCAAAGATATCACTGGGTTGCCGTCATCACTCCAAAGAAATGGGTTCCACTCGCATCCTTCATCACTGGCTGGATCAACGTGTCAGGTTGGGTTGCCCTAACGACTTCTGGGGGGCTCCTCGCTTCCCAACTCATCTCCGGTCTCATCGCCCTTTGGCATCCGGACTTCAGCTTGCACCCATGGCAAGTCTGGCTAATCTACGTAGCCTGGACGCTCATCGCCTTTGTCATCAACGCCTTCATGAATAGCTTGCTGCCCTACATCAACCGAGCCGCATTTATCTGGTCTATCGGTGGGTTTGCAGTCATTTGCATCACCGTCTTGGCCTGCGCATCTCCCGACTTCGCTTCCGCCGAGTTCGTCTTCACTAAGTTCATCAACGAGACGGGCTGGCCAGATGGTATTGCTTGGCTTCTTGGTTTGCTCCAGGGTGGATTCGGCTTAACCGGTTACGACGCCGTTGCCCATATGATTGAAGAGATTCCAAACGCTTCAGTCGAAGGCCCAAAAATTATGATCTACTGCGTCGGCATTGGCACTGTTACGGGCTTCATATTCCTTATGGTTTTGCTCTTCGTCTCTGGAGGCGATGCCGCATCCATCATCTCAGCAGCACCCGGTCCGATCCTGCAAATCCTTTTCAACGCCACGAAAAGCCGAGCGGGAGCTACTTGTCTCTTGATGTTCCCATTAGTTTGCATTCTCTTCGCAGAAACCGCCATCATGACGACTTCAAGTCGTATGACTTATGCATTCGCCCGTGACGGCGGATTACCATTTTCAAACTTCTTTGCAAAGGTGCATCCGCGACTTGGCCAACCACTCAACGCACTGATTCTGGCTGCTACCTTGGCCATTCTCTTTGGTCTGATCTTGATCGGTTCCAGCAGTGCTTTCAACGCCCTCATTTCTGCATCCGTCGTCGCTTTGGGTGTGAGTTACGCCATACCTGTTGCCATCAATCTTGTTCGTGGTAGAAAGATGCTGGGCTCCAGGCCTTTTGCTCTGCCAGAACCTCTTGGCTGGGTGGCAAATATCATTGGTGTCACATACACCATTATTACAACAGTGTTGTTCTTGTTCCCACCCCAATTACCCGTCACAGCTTCAAATATGAGTAAGTGTTTTCCCCGATATGCTTACTAGTGTTTATCTAACTGTATGTAGATTACTGTGTTGTCGCATTCGGCATCATCCTTTTCATCAGTACATTCCAATGGTTTGTGGACGGACGCAAGAACTTTAAAGGACCAAGGACGGATATGGGACTTGAGGTTCTCGAAGCTATAGGGAGTCATCAGCAGGATGGCGTGGAACCAGGGCCCCTGAAAGCCACTGATGATGAGGCGGATTCGCATACAATTAAGCCGTAGGGGGAAAACAATCTCCATTCTTGAGACATATTTTTTTAACATTAGAAAACTGCAAATCATTCCTGAATTCATGTCTCTGTATCTTCACGTGTTCGCTGGTCGTGCAAAGGGAGTTTGTAAAGACACTATTCCATAGCGCATCGTCCACTCGACCTTAATAATCACTGTTTGGGCACGAAGCTAACGCTTTTTTCTTCAACGGAAAACTGTACACCCATTGCGCATACTATGGTTGCGATTCCTGGGGGTTTGTTTCTTGATTTCGTGTCCCTTATCCACATCTAGTTTGCCACACCTTGTAAGTTGCACGGAAAGGTTCCGCGACCAACTGCCGATGACGGAATGCGTAGTGACCCCGCGTCCTACACTACACGCCTTACTATCCGCAAGATCGTACCCCAGTAACTATTTATACCAGAGTATATGTCTTTTGTACAGACGTATTATTGTAAAATTCGACATTTATAATGGCTGCTACAAAAGTTGCTCTCATCACAGCGAGCTCAGCGGGCCTGGGGGCCCAAATAGCCCGCGCACTGGCGCCAGACTTCCGCGTCGTACGTTGAATAGTCAATTCACACGCTGAGATATAGAAACTTACCAAGTCAGGTGATAAACTACTCTTCCAATTCAGACCGCGCGCAGTCCCTCATCAAGGAACTCTCATCCATACCTGGCGCTTCCTCGGAAGCAAACCCACGCTTCCACCTCGTCCAAGCGGACATGTCGTCCAAGCCGTCCGTCCAGAGCCTCGTCAAGGAAACAATCGAAAAAATGGGCAGACTAGACGTCGTAGTCTCCAACGCCGGCTGGACTCGCATGACGACCTTCACAGACATCGAGCAACAAGTCAACGACGAAGACTGGGACAAGTGCTTCACTATGAACGTCAAGACGCATCTGTGGCTCGCATATGCCGCCAAAGACGCCCTGGCCGAGACAGATGGCACATTCATCTCGACAGCTAGTGTCGCCGGTGTCAAGCCCAGCGGAAGCAGCGTTCCCTACGCCGTCACCAAAGCCGCACAGATCCACCTCATGAAGAGTCTGGCTGTTGTTCTAGCGCCCAAGATCCGAGTCAACAGTATTAGTCCTGGTATGCTGTTGACAGAGTGGGGCCTCAAGTTCCCGGAGTCGAAGCGCAATGCTGCTATTAATAATACGAAGTTGAAGAGGTTGGCGACGGTGGAGGATTGTGCGGATCAGGTGAGGGTGTTGGCGCTGAGTCGGAGTATTACGGGGCAGAATATTTGTATTGATGGTGGGTCGTCGGTGTAGTGTGTAGTATAAAGTGAATGGCATGGAGATTCTGTGCATAAGAGGCCTCTTCTGGAAGACGGTATATACAACTTTTGCTCTAGGAAATTTTCTAAATAAGATATGGTTCAGAGGGCAGAAAATTTCATCACGATACCGAAACCTCTCATCGTACCTAGTGGTATTCCTCTCCACCCTCATCTCCCGTGTTGGGTCGAGGGTCATTTCTATTCCCCCTCAATGCGGCGACTGCATCTTCATCCTTGCGGTACAGATCCTTTAGGTATTTCTTGAAGGATCTGGACATCTCCACCGTTGCCTCAATGTGCTTTTGCTTGATAACGATGCAACCGCGATTGTCTCTTTCCTCGTCGGTTTCCGCCAATGACACGGCAATCTGGAAGGCTGGAGCAGAAAAAATTTAGTATCCATATGTTAGAAGAGAGATGAGACAACCTGTGACGTACCGTTTCTGATCTCACGACCATTCCATTGCAGCGACTTGAGCTCTTTGCACTCGTCGATGTATGCTCGCGTGTTGTTATGCACTCTAATCTCGCCCTCCCTTTCGCGCTCTAGTTTTTGGAAAAACGATTCCCAGACTTCTGCTCTGGCCTTGTCGGAGAATGGTGGGTAGTATATTGTCAGATTGATTCTCGAAATGAAAGCTTCGTCAAACATGCCCACTCTGTTTGTAGTGAGAAAGAGGATACCCTGGTAGTATTCCATTGCGCGTAGGAATGAAGCGACAAGACTGTTGCGCTCGATGTCTTGAACGCGCCGGTGCTCCATGAAGATGTCGGCTTCGTCGATGAGAAGGATGGCGTTCCATGCTTTTGCGTACTTGAAGAATACCAGCAGGTTTTCTTCAATTTTAAGCGGGTCTGTTCCAATATCGGCACATGTGACAGTTAGAAGAGGGCGCTCAGCATTGGCAGCAATGCATTCTAGGGAAGGAGTCAGTCTTTGAGCGAACTGATGTGTTTGTAGTGTCTTGTTATACCGGCTGTGTAAGTCTTCCCAACACCTGGCTTTCCGTGCAAAAGAAAGATTAACCCCTCGCCTTTACCTTTGACGAAATCGGGTGACCACTGCTTTGTTGATGCCGGTGTTTTTGAATTTGTGACCTTTTGGCCAAATTCCGCTTCACGTTCTGCTTCTGCTTGTAGTCCGATGAGATATTTGCGAGTCAGACCTTGGATGAGCTGCTTGATACGCGGTTCCTTCATCACGAGTGTATCTATCATCGACTTGTCATATTTTACTGGACGGAATCCTGCGACATCCAGGTGACCTGTGAACTGGTCAGTTATGTCTGCAAGGTATATAGAAACTGCTGCACATACACCACTGGCGTTGTTTCAACACATATGCAGGTGAACTATAATCGCAAAGGAAATACTGGTGGTCCGTCATACCAGACCCGCTAACGAAGTTGATGTTCGAATAGCCACTGAACCTATACGGCTTGCGTTGCGAGCTTATAGTTTCACGGCAATTGTTGCAGCAGTTTCGGTCAAACACCTGCCCGTAATCCGTTTCTGGGTCGTCTTTGCTCGTGGGCAGCTTATCATATCGCTCGTTGTACCGGTCGTCATCGGCAATGACCAGTCCTTCTATCTAGACCGTGTCAAAATAATCGAAAAGCTTGATTTGGGAAAGCTTACCGGGTTCCGGGGGTACGAAGTGGTATATCCCCGGAAGTTCCAGCAACCCAGCCGCCTTAGCTGGAAGTAGATCTTGCCCCTCTCTTCAAAGTACTGCCTGGCGTCTTCCTTTTCTCCCCATATCTTGCTCTGGGTACGGTATTCAAAAGGGTAGATCGCCAAAGAACTGATCTTGACTTCGCCTGCGAACGGTTCAATTGAATCGTCTGTTACGGACGGACAGATGGAAAGCACATTGTATTCCATATTCCAAAGTTTGAAGGAAATAGAGCGGACAGTTTCGTTTACAACAGAACAGTTTTGTGATCTTATCACATATGGTTGATACTCCCCGGTGTTATCCCTATCATACAGCACATCGATTCCAGGAGGGAAAAGGAGCCATAGCATTTCAAAAGTAGCCATTCCTCTTGCATGGCGCTCGCGTTCAACTCTTACTGCTGCACCGACCGCCGCCTTGACGAAATTTCTGACTATGCTAATGTGCCTATAGGCATACGTGCCTGGGCAAGCGCCCCCGATACAATCTGATGATGCGAGTCTTTCCTGGTACTCAGCGAGAGCGTCTTCATGGTGAATCAGAAGTGAGTATGGCCAGTCAATTCTGACTTTTCGCGCTCCGAGATCGTAACTGGGGGCATAATCAACCACGCTTCGTAGGGCTTCCAACACTGCTGGAGATGTAATTTCAATATAGGAACCCCCATGTGAGTCAAAGGGCGGAAGCTTGAAAGTCTTTTCATCTTTTGTCTCATTATGAGGGGTTTCCGTTTCTTCTGTGGTACCTTTCGGGTCTGCCTTCGTCTGTTCGTAGAAATCGGACGCATCAACATCAAGCCATGTACTCCGAACATCGACAACCTTCCTATAGATACTGGTCATTTGTGTGATAAACAATAATTTTAGATATGCTTTTTACATTACTGATGACTGAGGCAACGTAGACTGTTCATATTCGTGTGCTCGTCTTTTCAATGTTTCACTGTGCAGATGCCCTCCAAATGGATTTTCGTACCGAATTTCGTAGGTAACCTCCCCAGGCCATTCTTCCTCATTATCTTTGGAGCTGTCGACGTTGGCGCTACTATCTGTAGGCGGCATCCCAATCCCTGAATCTCGAATTAAAATGCGGGGTTCGCTCGAACCTGGGGTGACGGTCATCTTTCAGAGTCGTTATTGCAGGAAAAGGAGCTTTATGAATAGAGATCATTGTCAAGAAAATAAACAGCATATGGGGGACTTCCCTGATACATATCAGCAATCACAAAGACACAATGCTGGCGTTCCATAGCCTTGCAGATTTGGCCCCCATCCAATGGCCCCCACACTTTAGAAATAGCTCGGCCTGACCGAACTGTTTGATAAAGCCATGCATGTAATGGGATAGGTGAGAATTGATCACCCAGAAGCGGGGTACAAGCGGGTAAAGGTGATGAGCAGCATGCGGCGCAAGGCTAGGCGTTACCCTATCCAATGGTGACTCGCCACGTCCAGGTTTTCCGGTCAAGAAGTTGATATGCACATGCCAAATATACATTTTGATGGGTAATGTCCGAGGCATTCTTTTGAAGCGCAATTCGGTAGCCATGAGGCTGATTACAGAACTGTTTTGGACGTATAAGGCTGTAAGGCCGATGCGATTTGGAAGCTAGATTCAAGGGAGGCAAAGCGTCAACATGGTAGAATTCAAAGCATCCGAGGAAGAGAAGTATGTGCCACGAGAGATCGTGCGGGTTTTTTCTATGCGCATTAAAGCAGAATATGAGGATCGTGATGATAGTGGAACAGAGCTAGAACAAGCCCTTGTGGAGAAGGCTGAAGACGATGAGAGCCAGCAGAAGAAACGCATTCGGCAGATCAATGAATACCTCAACTCTACTAGGTAAGGACTTTTCTATAATCATATAGACATGTAATGACTGCTAATAAGATATCTGACATAGGCCCCAGGAACTGGCGAGGTTGAGTCAGCTTAGAATTTTGCTGGAGCGTTCCATGCGTGAATTCCGCGCCCAAGTTCAGAAGGGTCAGCCCAAGGATGTCTTTCCCGAGAAAATTAGCTCCTGGGAGGACGTTACGTCGATAGTCGAAGATATGATGAATCGCTTACAACAAAAGAAAGAAAAGGACAAATTTCGGCGGGCCACTAAACACTTCCGTACATTCTGCAACACAATCAAGTCGCACTCTACGGCTTTGAAGATGTTGCCAACAAGCAATGATTATGTCACAGTCTTTTATGGAGCTCTTGCTACAGTAGTTCAGGTTTGTTGTCCATAAATAAAGGAATCTGTGTGCTGAACAACTATTAACGATGTCGCAGGCCTCTGAAAATTACACCAAAGTGATGGAGGCGTTACCTAAGGCACTGGTTGAGATCAATGACGCAGTCGCTGCAATAGAGAAGCGCTCATGGCTTTTCGAAAACAACACGATGAAGAGTTACATGTGGCGTGTTTACAGTCAGATCTTTGCGTTTCTTGGAGAAATCATCCGATGGTACACCAAGCGTTCTGCTCAACGTCTTCTCGGTAGCTTCAATGAAAGCCTCCTCGACTTTTTCGACGATCAAGTCGAAGAGATCCAAAAACTAGCAAAGCTAGTCCACGACGAGGCTGATTTTCGGGCTCAAGCGGATGCCCAGATTAGTAGGCTTTATCATGAAGAGATGGAAGGCAAGCTTGACAAATTCATGACCAAGCTTCTCGAAAGGGATTCCGCTCAACATGATGTTCTTGGCCGAAGATACGAACGCTTCTACGAGGAAATGGAACAAAAGCGACGGGAAGAATTTTCCAACAAGGAGACTCTCGAGAACATACTTGTGGGTGTTTTGAACAAGATAAAAAAACAAGAAACAGGCGCTGCGATGTCTGAGATCCTCGAGGGAGATGCTCGAAAACGACTAGTTTGCCCAGAGGACGCGGTATATATCGAAAGAGCTAAGAATATCAACACTCCCAGATCAGGTCAGGCATTTGATTCACGCGCTCTAATGCAGCAAAATCTTGAGGATTCTTATGCTCCGGAAGTCACAAGAGACACCCTACTTCTAAGTTCGTCTGGACTGGAAGACCACTTCGACCGCGCCAAACTTGTGATACCGGGAACTTTCGAAAACAATACCGCTGTTGTAGATCCGGAAGTAGCAGACCGAATAAGATTGTGGATGATGGCAACTGATTCTCAGATCCTGTACACCTCTGGTTCAGATCCTTTTGGAGAAATCGCTCATGCTTCGGGTGCGGCAGGTCAGTATACGAATGTGATCCGAGAAGCGGGTTTGCCCGTTTGCTCGTATTCATGCTCACTCGAGGCTAAAGACCCACCTAAAGGCCGTACGCGCGAAACAATAGAGCTGGTTGCTTTGGTGTATAGTTTAATACGCCAGTTGATCGAAATTCTTCCGCCAGTTATTAAGTCAGACACCACATTGATCCAAGATGTCCATTGGGATGAATTGGACGGAACTTTGAGAACGTTCCCACGGGCATTAGAGGTTCTGGAATGGCTTTTTTGTAACACCGGAAATTCTGTCATCTTCATTGTCATTGACGCTACTGACTTGCTGGACGATCCAAGCCGCAGGAGTACGGATAAATGGCTCACATGCTTGCTGCAACTGTTCAGGAAGCTTCTAACCATTTCTCACGGCACTACTCTCAAAATATGGTTCAATTCTGGTGGAATGTCACCTATATTGTTCAAGTCGTTGGAAAGACATCAAATTGCGATTTCAACTTCGTCAGCAAGGTCTGGCAAGCGAGCGTTTGGTAGTGAGGTTATAATGATGTAGCACCAAGGTAAACCCTTTTCAATCATCTTAGGAGTTCCATAGCCTTTGGCCATTTATTAGTCAGTTATCGTAATGATCTGTATTTTCACAATCTATAGATGTCTGGGACCTTCCATTCCTTTTTACTCATAACTTGACGAGACTCACGACTGGCTATCGAAGAGCTCTCGCCACGGCAGCACCGTGACCCATCTCTCGCCTTTGATGCTAGAGTGGCTGATTTAGAATTTTCTTTCGAATTGCCTTGTATCGATATACTGTGGGCTTGTAAAATGGTTCGATTGGCTGAAGCAATTGAGCTTGGCCTTGACGTTGTTAAGGGTCTCAGCGCGATGCTTGTTCGTGCCCCACTAAGTTCCCCTGTTATTAGATCTCTAGCATATTCTAGAGATAAGCCTGTAGTTTTGAATCCTTGGGTGAAACCCTTGAGCGTGGGTGTTGTGGCAGATATGAGGCTGTAACATAGAAGAGTGCTTTGCCAAACGACGGTCGGGACGATTTGGATAGCAGTCTGGCGCTCATTGACGAATTTTGAATATGCAATCAGATAGATAACAGAAAAAACGACATTTCTACAAGGATGATGTTGGTGCTTTCTCAACAATACCATATATAGATGAGAAGGCGACTTACGGTATTCGAGTGAAAAAGGCCACCATGACGATTGCCTTATCCTCAACATGCATTTTATTACGATATAGACCCAGAAGTGGTATTAGAACAGTGAAACATTCGGTGATAATATCAATGATAGTAAGCGCTTGCATCCAAGGAATCTGATCAATCAGCGGATACTTGAGCAAGGGATTAAAAAGACTTACAGAATTCACGCAGTGATTGATGCCAGACTTGGGTAGAATTCTCTCAACTCTACACCCAATCGGAACTGAAATCACTCCAGCTATGCCCCATATCGCGAGAAACGCGATGGTGGCATTGGCCGTGTATGTGACTTTTGGCATGCTCCCAAAGACATCTGAGATAAGGACAAGAATAGAGCTCTTCGAGAGGGCTAGTGCGATATAAAGTAGGATTCGGGCAGCAAAGAAGGTCTGGTAACAATTTCAGCACGCGCTCTCACCTTTTTTTCCTCTTACGAACCTGCTGCACTCGTGATATGTCTACATCATCAAGGATATCATATGATTTTCCAAGACCATGCCCAATAGACGTCAGTAGTGTTACCCACATTCCAGCCCCCACAATCTGCATAATAATTAGTAATGTTTGCCTCAAAAGAAAAATTAGAGGAGCTCAAATTCATACATGTGCCAAGATAACGACAAGATCATCAAAGCCATATGCTCTCCATTTTGTGTATCCTAGACGTATTCCGAGGACCAAGGTAGCATATATGGGTGATAGAATAATAATTATCCAAAGCGTAGCGCTATGGTCGTGGGGTGTGATGCGAGCGAAACGGTGATCTGATGGAGACGCAGTTGAGAAAGCCATTTGTTACATTCAGCGAAGCGGGCACGAAGGAGAAAAATTCAATGAAGCACCAAAAATGCCCTCTGGTTTTCTTCTGGTCACCTGGGGCTCATGGAATGGTTGGCAAAGCAGAAAAAAACATATGAAACCGATCAATGGGCCATATTATCAACCCATCGCCCTATCATTTACAAGATGCACCAAACGTATTTTAAAGTCCAGAAATTTATGTCCAGTTTTGTCCATGCTAATGAAAAATATCTCCTCATAGATTGTCCTGCCACGTAATCCAAACTGTATATGACATGATTACAGCCGAAGTACCGAACTCACAGCCTCATCTCTGGTATCTTTGTATCCTTGTTCGGCAGTTGCCTCACAGTGTCATAGTCACACGGAAAGAGGACTCTTATCGGATACTGCGCAGCGACCAAAATTGCATGGGTTTTTAAGAACGAAACATCCTCATACGTTGATGTTTTTCATAATGCGGAGTTCCCAAGTCCGAGTCAATGCGTTTGGCAACATGGCGGGGGTGCAGGTGCCGATGCACTGGTAAAGTCATACCGAAAGGGGTGTTAATTCAGTAATGTATATATGGGTTACCTATCATCCCGCGCGAATCCGAGGGAAAGACGTGATTTTAGTGGTT